TTGGGGAACTTTTCAAAAAGCTTCTCATTATAATAAAATCATCAAAATACCAAGGGAATCACTCATTCATCTTCCTTCACGTGTTTGGATACTGTGCTCTGCCAGACTCTGGTTATACACAATGGTGAACAAAATAGACAACATCTCTGTCATTTTGGAACTAACAGTCGTGTGCTATCATGAATGGAAAAGAACTCAAAAGAAATTGTTCAATTATGTAACCATTTAAATGCAACTAGATTTAATCCACAGCAAAAAAAAAAAAAAAAAAAAAAAAGAAGTACAAATTTGCATTCACCCTGGACACTGGTATTTCCCATAGAGAGTGGGCTCTAAACTTATTGGCAAGTTGCCAGGAAGGGAAACGATTGACCTCTGGTGCTGTCGGATGAGCACTGGACTGCTAACTACCAGGTCAGTGGTTCAAACCCACTGGCTACTTCTTGTGAGAAACCTGAGGTTTTCTGCTCTGGAAAGATTTACAACCTTGGAAACCCTATATAGGGTTGCTATGAGTTGGAATCACCTATATGGCAGTTGGTTTTTTAGTGGGATCTGCTCCCTGGTTCTTCCTAACTGTCCTAATATTCTAAGAAATCCTACAAATCCATGGTGGCTGAAATTCATTTTTTTTAAAAAAAGAGACAAATTAAGTATTGACTTTATTTTGTACCCAAATCTGCTTAATTTATGCATAACTTCAATTTCTTCACCACCTACATCCTTGGGTGTAGTGTTCAAAGTTCTTTTTCTTTATTAGGTAAAGACTCAAATGATGCTTTTGATGGGACACAATCAAGTGTACTACAATTAGATTAAATTCATCAAAACATAACCCCAAATTATGACAGGGCATTATCACATGCTTGCAACAATGCCAAAAACAGAGGTTTTATATTAAAGTATTAGTTGATTAAGAATGAGTTAGATGTCTTCTAACATAAAAAAGAAAATGCTGACTAGTTTCATACATTTGGCTTCAAATGCCTAAGTCATTTCTAAGAACTGAAAGGCATCATGGAAGCATTTGCACACCTGAGAAAAAGTGAGGTAGTAAAGAAAACATATTTTCTGCTGGGTTAATTTGATTTGAATTGCATTTTTAATAAAGCTTTTATATTTTTTCTGAATTAGACAGTACTCGTAAATAGACCTGTCCTTTTTCTATCATTTTAAAAAGATTTTTTATAAAATTTGCATTGCCCCAGCTAATACATGAATTTGTCACTACCCAGTTCTAAAACACTTACCAAGAATAGCTACCACAATGTCATCTTTGAGTATTTCAATGGAGCCCCTGGATAAGAAGTAAAGTGCAGTAAGGACATCCCCACAGTGAACCAGGGTATCCCCTGGAGGTGCATGTGTGGTCTTGAACTTCATTGCCAAAGCTCTAAGGCAACCTTTACTTGCCCCCCGAAAGGCTTTGCAGTTTTGCAGCAAAGTCTGGTTGAGATGTAGACAAATGTCAGCTTGTAAGCATTCTGGAAATCCCTTTAGGACCTGAGGGAAAAAAAAAAAATAAAGAGTTTCATACTACCAAAGCACAGGGTGCCTAAACCAGAAATAAAAGTCTTCTGTGCTTACAAAACCACAAGTGTAGTAATCGTGTCACACAGGAGTTCTCACAATGCTTCTACCTCGCCTACCTTAATGAATACTTGGTTTGCTAAACATGTCAGAATTTTAAACTCAAATACTGTTCTCTGAATTAACTACAGGCATTCAGACTCAACACAAATGCTGTCTTGTTAAAATGTAATGCCTACAACATTTCACACTGCTTCTCATTCCCTGTACCACGTAATGCAGCATCATACTATGCACAGATAGAATGCAATGTGACAATTAATAAGACATAACTAATGAAAGGTGGTACCTCTAGAAAGATAATCTTTTTGAAGGATTCTCAAGTGTCAATTTAGGTTGCTATCTCTGATAGACATATAATTAGTAAAAATGTTGATCCTGAAATAGTCATAGTATTTGTAAATGCCATATACTAGAAAGTGCTCTTAGTTAATAGTACTAAGAATATTTATAATTTGGTATGCACATTATTAATATTAAATTTTTTGATACAGCTCTGAAAATAGAGAAAGAAAAGGCAAACAGCAAACACACTTTAAAAATGTAGTTTCATTTTCTGTAATGGAAATCATGCCAGAATTTACAATGCATACAGAAGGCTTCTAATAGCGCTACTGTTTTGACAATTTATCCTGTGGTTAATTTAAAACTTGTAGAACTGATTTAACAATAACATGTAACAAGAGCTACTTAATTTAACTGAATAAAATTATATGTTATTTTATAAAATCTCCAATATACAATGAACTAAAGACAGTCAACTCTTGCTTTTTTGTACTATCCTTAGCTATTTGGGGTATCAAATGTAGATTTTAAATCTCATGTAGACTCACTTAAATATGAACGGGGTGGTGAAAGGGTCTCTATAGCACCTAAAGTGCAATTTTGGTATTTATACTTTCTTGGGTCAACCTTGCTGTTGCTATATAAAGAAGCTAAAAACAATCATGAACTGGCTGTCAAGGCAATTCAAGTGTATGCAGTCCATAGCAGACCTTCAGATTAGATGATATTTGAGTTAATGTACAACTATTATTATTATAAATGTTAAAGGAAAGAGCCCTGGTGTTACAATGATGAAGTGCTTGGTGCTAACAGAAATGATAACAGTTTTAGCCCACCCAACAGCTTCAAGGTAGAAAAATCTGCTCCCATAAAGATTACCCACCTCCAAAACCTTATTTAACAGTTTTACTCTGTCAAACTGAGTGACTATGAGTCATAATTGACTAGATGTTGTTGTTGTTATGTGCCATGGAGTCGGATCTTACTCATAGCAACCTGATACAGGGTTTCCAAGGCTGTAAATCTTTATGGGAGCAGAAAGTCTCATCTTTCTCCCGCGGAACAGCTGGTAGTTTCGAACTGCTGACCCTGAGGTTCACAGCTTGATTTGTAACCACTACGCTACCAGAGCTCCTTAATTGATTAGATGGCACATAACAATAAATGTTAAAACTGTCACATGGATCCTACTTCTCTAAGGTCACTATGGTTAGATTGTGAATATAATAGAAAAGGACAAAAAATAATTTTTGAGATACAACAGCTCCACTTCTCCTATTTTGTCTTTTCCATTATATAGAGTCTCCTACAGAAATGGGTAGAGAGTATTTTGAATAAAAAGCCAAGGAAACTGAGTTCTGTTCATGAATTTACCACAGGTTGACTCTTGGGCAAATCACTTCACCCAACTGTGTTTCTACACCATAGAACAAGAGTACTTAACCTAAACCTTCTTAATGCCATAATTAGTCATACATTACTAATAAATAGTGTGTTAATTGTCAAAAGATAAGTGCTATGGCTCTGTAGGATAATCCCTGAACTTCAAACCACAAAGTTGGTAGTTTGAGACCACCAGCTGCTCTGTGGGAGAAAGATGAGACTTTCTGTTCCTTAAAAGATTTATAACCTTGGAAATTCTATACAGGGTCACTATGTGTTGGAATTGACTTGATGCACTTAAGAACAGCAACAGGAGAACAAGCAAGATGGTGAATAGGGTAGAAATGCAGTGAGGAGCTCCATCAGCAACAACACAGAATAACAGACCAAGCAGGCTCAGAGGATGGTCCCAGAACTCTGAACCACATATAAAGGAATATTTAGAAAGTTGGAAGGCTTAAAGCCAGTGGAATTTGTAGCAGAAGCAAGCAATCCAGTGCTTCCTAATCCAACGTACTCAGCTGCTCCCTGAGCAACTATCTTGAATGAGATTGAGCTAGGGAAGGATCACAACAGCCATGGATGCCTGACAGAACCATGGAGATAAAGGTGTTGACATTTTATATATATATCTGTTCAATGGTCTCTCACTGTCTGTGAACCTCCATTCTGGTGACTAGAGGGGGTGCCCCACCCCCACTCCCAGAAGGTTCTATTATGCATGTGCACAGAGCTCCTCAAAATTTAAAGGGACAATTTCCACTTAAAACCAAACAGAAGTGCAAATTGGCCACAGCCAGCCCAAAACTATTTATCACTAGGAAAAAGACCTAAATGGCAGATGTAGAGCAGAACAGGCAGACTAAAAAGGAAACAGGCCAAACATTAAATCCTGAGTTACGTCCAGCAACTAAGAGTGGCATCTCGAAATTTCTCAGGAAGAAGAGTGAAAAGGAAAGCCCATCTCCTGATCATATCTACCTGAAGGCAATCAGAAAGCATAAAAACAAACAAACAAACAAACCCACACACCATCTAAGTATTAAGGCTAACTACTGAATATGCCCCCAAAACAGAAACTGATGACAATATCAGCACATGTTCAGAAATGAGATAAAATGTCAGAGACAAATGAGCTAGAGGTAGACCTACACTCCATACTGGAAGAGCAGGATTTGGAAATGCCTGAGAATGAATTCAGAAAAATGATTATAAAATGTATCAAAACACTTAATAATGGAGTTGAGAAAAATAAGAAAGAAGTCAGGAAATAACTACACAAACAATCAAATAAGATAGATACAGCATTGGACACAATTCAAAGCCTATAGAAAGAGGTCCAAATGATTAATAAAATATCAGAAATGGGCAATACACTGAAAGGGCAAAGGAGTAGAATTGAAGAGATGGAAGCCAGAACTAGTAAGCTGAGAGATAAACCTCTCAATACTACTAAGATAGAAGAACAAGCAGAAAAAAGG